GCCCAGCTCCTGTGTGAAACCTTCAGCGCTTTGCCCTGCACGAGGCCTTCCCTGTGTCACAGCGGAGGATCCCTTCCTTGTGCCACCCAGCTCTTCTCAGAAGCCTTCATTACACCACCTGGTACGTCTTGGAGACCTTCATGGCATCCTTCAATGCACCACCCCAGCGGAGACATTCTTTGTGCTGTGCTTGAGGAGCCCTTCAGCTTCACAGAGGACCTCATCACCTCACCACTGCCCAGGAGCCCTTCACTGCGCCACCCCATGGAAACTCTTCATTTCATTCTGACATTTTGACGACCCTTTATGATTTTGCTTTTTTCTGGAACACTTCAACACCCAGCATTTTTGTAATAGTTCACCCTGCAGCTGATCTTCATTTTTTTTTCCAATACTTTGCCTTTCACCTTTGTTGAGGAACGGTTCATCTTTTAGGTCTTTTGGAGCACTTCATTCCCTGAGTCTTACCGGAGCTCAGCACTGTGCAGCCCTTGACGAGTGCATCACTTTGTGTTTTTGGCTCTTTAAAGTCAGGTTCACTAAAATGTCTCATGGATTTGTAAACTTTTAGGAAGTAGAAATGTTGCATAATACAGCTGGAGGTCTCAGAAATGTTCTAAATTACCTTCTGTTGTGAGATTCGACTCAAAAATCCATGTTATGGGGATGGAAGGAGGAAAAGCAAAGCTGGGCTTTTCCTTGCTTAAGAGCGGTGGCACCTGCTCGGTCCAAAGGACAATTCCACACAGAAGAACCTGTATATTTTAGTAAAATATTTTTAATATTTTATATTATATAATTGTAAGTTCTGGCTCATTATTGTCTCGTGCAATTCCTTTTCCTTAAAGTATTATGCTCACTTGTTACAAGTGCAGTAAACTTGTACTCCAGATAAAGTCTCAGTATTGAGAAAATTTCTAATTATACTGGCTGTTACAATTTTTTTTAATGTGTCCTGACAAATGTTTTATCCCTTTGCTGTAGCAACTGCTTGCTATTCAAGGACTGGAACTTCTAATGTTGGATTTAGTGCATATAATAATGTTGTCATAATTTTAGACATATCGTTCCGTGCAATAAAAAGGTTTTAAAAGGCTCTGAAAAGCCGTGGTGCTCTTTATGGCAGAGGCTTCTTGTTCCTTTCAGGTATTCTCAGCTCTTGTGTTTGCACGGGGACAATACAGGTAGGACATGGTCGCTCTGCGTGTTGTGAAGTTGCTGGACTCTATTCATAACAGGAAGATGCCAAGTTGAGTGACTTTTACGACACTGGACTTGAGCAACTCCTGGTGAAATTCCCCACCATGGCTGTCTGCTGCAGCCAAGAGCCTTTCAGTAATATTGGCCAAGGGCTTTAGGATTTGGTTCACCATTTGAATTCCCCATCACTGCTCCAGTTTCCTCCTTTCCTCTGATCTCCTGGATTTCAGCCCATTTATTTTCATACACGCGCCCCTGCACCCCCATTGGCTTCACCCACAATAAATGCAAGTGGGCAACGGGACAGGCTGTTGACAGCAGAGTCAAGAAAGTCCTTCTGGCCCAAGACTCTGTGCAGCAGCCCCCGTAAGCAGCAGGGGCAGCTCCAAAGGTCTGCTGCTTCTGAGGGCAGTGGCCCGTGGCATCGCTCTTCATGCTGGGGCCGAGCTGCAGAACACACGCTGGCCGGAGCCCTGGAGGGCAGCTGCAGAGAGCAAGGTGCCACCAACTGAAAAGCCCCAGGCTCACGCTCCTCTTCCTCATCACCTCTCCTTAAGGTCAAGCTGTCATTAAGGTCGTATTCATTTGATTCATCAGCATCATCATTGTTACCGTCTTTCTCCACAGCTCCTTTTCCTGTAGGGACACAAACATCATCTCTTCATGAATCATAAATACGGAACGAAAGAGACCTCCCAGAGACCATCATGTTGGTCCCTCTCCTCAAGAGGAGAGAGAGTCAGCTGAAGCAGCCTGCCCAGTGCCAACAGTGCACGTGTTCCAGACCTTCATGAAAAGCTGTGTCCTCTCTCTGGGACCCCTACTGCAGCCTCACCCAGTTTTCCTTCCAGCCCTTGATCCCAGCCTCTTGTTACAGAGGAACCAGAAGCTCGTTACCTGTCTCTCTGCAGCACTTTCTCTTTCTTTCCTCTTTCTCCCCTGCTTTTCCCCAGCCTGGACTCCAGCACCTTTACTCTCCCCATCAGCTGTCCTGTCCTCTGATCCCTGATGCTCTTAGAGCCTTTTTCGCAGGGTCATGGCCCAAACAAAGCTCCAGCCAAGGTGCTGCCCGTTCTGGGAAGACATAAAGTCCTGCTGAGTGGTTATAACCTACACCCCTCTGGAGAAGGTGAAGTCCTCCAGAAACAAGCTCTTGGGGTGGGGGTCTTTTTTCCCCCCAAGATCCCACCGTGTCCATCTGCATATGCCCTGCCAAGAGCCCAGGTTCTTAAAAACATGATGAAACTTTGCTGTTTTGGGCCACATGTCCAACACTCAGTAGATCATCTTTCTGAGCCAAAAACATTCAGCAGTAGCCGCTGCTGCAGCTCTTCAGTGAAGCTGGTCAGCAGATGGATTTACAGACTGTGCGGAACTCGTGTCCAGATCAAACACTGAGGTGGACGTGGCATCACCTGAGCCTCACTACCCGGTACCTCGGTTCTCCCCGGCTTCCCATAAAAGCTTCTGACCAGCTGTGTCCAGAGAAAAAATCATGTATGAAATTGAAAACCCAACAGAGACATTTGTGATTTAGGGCTGTTGTGCAGGCTTTTTTTTTTTTTTTAGGTAAGTTAAAGAGAGAAGGTGAGAAGGTATCAAACCTAAGTGAATGCGGGTAACAGATCTTCATCTGCCCTTTTTAATTTATTCCTTTTTTTTTAGGAAATACATGTCAAGTGCTCTTTTGCAGTTCAGTATCTCACACTGGGGCTCCTCTGAAATTTCTTAAGTTGTAAGGGTAAATTACAGCTTGTTGGTACGTTACCCTAAAGAAGTTCTTCTGAAGTTTTGTTTACTAGACATACACAGTTCACATGAAACAACTTACTAACCTCAAGGACTTCACAGGTGAAACAAGCCTGAAGGTCTAAATTAACCATTTAACTTTATGAAAAACTTAAGAGACTTTATAAGCAAGCTGGTAAAACAGGAAAATTTAAAAGATGTCAAAATTCTGCTTTCAGTGTACTGCTGTAGCACACTTCAGCACTACTCAAATGAGCTTTTAAACCAGAAGTTATTGCCTAAAAAGTTGAACATGGACACTAAGCTCATATTTATCAACTTTTGCAACCCAAAATATGACCATTAATAAATTTCAAATGTAACACAACAAATCCCAACAGAATTAGCCAAGCTGCTACCTAAGAAAATACGTTTTAAGTTTCTCCCAATACATCATACCTGGTGACCTAACCATTTGGGACGTTTTAACCAGAAATCTGGTATTTGCCTGTATTGTATTTAACTGAAAGCAAATTTCAAGCCACAAGTGTAAGTTTAACATCACAACAGACTGTGTACTGTCTGTGGTGTATTGCTGTATCACGGGTAGACCTTTAAACATGCAAACAAGAAATTATTTTCACATACAGACAGGTACCTCTATGAAAGGACACAATTCCTCCAGTATTTGACCTGTGTTTTCATTGCATCCAAAATATTAACGTAGCGTCAGCTTTAGGATAGAGTGGAAGTAGCTAAGTAAAACATTGCGTTATTTTAAAGGTTGATGTCATCTGAGTCTGCTGAGCCCTATGTTTTTTCCATTTTATCCTGACAGTCCCATAGGCAGACACAGCACGGCTGCTCATCTCAGCTGGACGGGTACCCACGTTGTGCACAGCCAAGTACTCCAGCAATGGGAACTGACATCAAAAGCCAAAGCAGCAGAACTAGACAAAATAACCTGAGACCACAGTTTTCAGTGTCAATAAAAGAAATGTGAGGAACATAGGCTTTTGGAACTACATAGTAACACACTGTAACGTACTGTCCTCCATTTTCACATGTGCATGCATTATATAAACACAACATTTCTAATCACTTCCAGAATTTTAAGAGTTAAAAATGGAAAAAAGTAGCAACTTCTTTCCCTTCTTGTCTGCATAGACCTTAAGGATCAAACCAAGCAGCAGTTCAGATATTTCCTCACCCTCAACAGTTACAAGTTAAACAAAAAGGCATTTTACTTCCCAAATTACTGTACTCTGGTTCAACAAGTCTAGCCATATTGACAGACCAGCCCTCGCAGGCTGATAACTGATCTGCAGGGCACATGCACTTTGTGACATCCCAACATAAGCACAGTTCAAGCATAAATTTAGCATACAATGAAGTCCCAATCAGTCCCCAAGAGAATTCCAGGAAATATGCTCAATTCCTGGATACTAATGCTCACCTTTTATTTCACCCTTCTTTTTATTTCTCCCTCCAAGCTCTCTCCAAGTGAGTTCTTTTCTGTCTTCCCCGTTTCTTTTGTTCTATACAATTTTTTGAATCACATGGGTTGAAAACATAGTACTTACGACAAAAAACTACAACTCTCACTGAAATATTTATCAGCTTTCCTTTAACTGTTCTCCAGTTACCTTTCCTCCTCTCACATTCTGCTTGTCATGCTCGTTATTTTTCAGAAGAGTGTATTTTGTCCTACACTAAAAAGTAACAATTATCCCTTATTTCAATAAGGTGACTCAATTTCATATAATTATATCTTAAGCATGAAAATATTTAGTTTCCATGGCCTTTTTCAGTTGAGAAACACCTGGTTCTGTTTTTATCCCTTTAATTGCTGCTAGCCCACCTGGATTGACATTTCAAGCCTACCAAAAAAAAAAGAAAAAAAGAAAATTTAGAGAGCAGAACACAGCAACCAGCTCTGCATTCTCAACCTGACATCATCTCACAACACAGAATCAAAGAACAACCAAGATACTCAAAAGTCTAAAACAGTGAAACCCCTCCTTGGGATTTTTGTTTTTGAAGCAAAAACAACCTCAGGAGGAGCCAATAAATTAAAACATCTTGTATATTTACATTTCATGCAAGGTTAGAATTTTTTTCTCCTAGATACGCCATGCCTTTATTTTTCATTGGGCTTGTAGCATGTATTTTCATTAGATAAGCATCATTATTGAGTTCTGTTATATCCAAAACACTTACTTAAATACACAACTGTGCTTAATGACAGTGAACAAAACAGCAAGAATTGTGCAGCTAGCATGCTCTTCCCCAGTACATTTTTGTAGTGAGCACTCTTCCAACAAAACTTCTTGTCCTGGATTCATTCTCTGCACAGCAGCTCTGTGGCCAGCTTCAGCAGCAACTACTCAGCAGCATAACTGCATTTTGTATGGGGCTCTCGTCCTAAAGCCTACGTTCTACTGAGAAAACAAGGAAGCTAAATTTTTTAAAAGCCATTAAGAAGCAACATAAATTATGATAATAATGATTTATCTTCTAGAACTGTTGCATTTGACTACTAACTAAAAACCAAGCAGCCGTTTACCCGGTGCTTTCAGGACACTTCTGTGCCCCTGAAGCCAGCTATGGGGAGGGGGCAGGAAAGCTGCAGCCCAGAGCTGAAGCAGCAGCTCCTGAAGGATGCTCAGCTACAGCCTCTCCTCTCCCCAGGAGAGTCTTGCCACCCAGAGCTGCGCTGGACCACCCCTCCATTGAACGGCGTGACAGCTCCACTCCCTGAACAAGGCACAGAAGGTGAGACCAGTCCTGCTTCTGCCTTTCCACCCCATCCACTTTCACATCAAAAAGGCCAGAATTGCAGAAGCTTCAGATAGGTGTCCACCTTTACAGTGGCTAACGCTCTCATTTAAGTCACTTTAGGAGCTCAATGGCTCACACCTTTTATTGACTGGCCATGAAACTCACTGAATATTGTGAGGTGTTGATTGGTAACACAGCAGCTTGACAGCTGGTTGTGGAACCACAAGTGGAAGGAAATAAATGCATAAAACTATAAAAAAATAGCCAGCAATAAAGTCTGGAAATAAATGCAGTGTATATTTCTGGGTTTAGAGGTCTATCCAGGTCGTTGCTAGTGCAGCCAGTCTCAAATCTCCCACTGTTCCTTGGTGTGGCTCTTCTGCAACGCTGGGAGTGCTGGCATTTGCAAATAATTTCCAAGCAGATGGTTATGGATAGATCCTGAGACCAGTGGGAATTATTAGTCCAGCAGGACTCATAGCAGCAATATTGTATCAATCTGACCCATATCCGTGTTACCTTTGAGTCCCCACCACAGGCTCGTTCTTCAAATTCTAATATCTCCAGAGTAGAGGCTCTGCTGTGGAATGCACATGGAAAAAGTAATGCTTCCAAAAGGCTACACACAACAAACTTCAAAAAAAAAAAAAAAAAAGAAAAAGACAAAAGCAAATAAAGCCCAAACAAACCCAGACACATTAGTGATTGTTGTCTCCACAGTAATCATGGCAGAGGAACACAGTGCATGAGTCCATCCCAGCTTGCCAAGCTGCAAATGCCTGGCCAAAATAGCATCTGAAAATGATCTGCAGTCACTTGCTATAGAAATACTTCCCTGTCAGCTCAGCAGCCATGGGAAAGCCTTGAATTAGACTATTAGCAGGCCTCCACCAGGTCACTCTGTGCTGCTCCTCAGGATTCAAGTTCACTTTGGCACAATGCAAGAAAGCTACCGATTCCCGGCAGTAGAGATCTTCTTGTACTTGTGTATGAAAGCATCCGTCTTTCCAAGGCTAACTCCATAGACGCCATCTGGCAGCAGAGACCCAAAATATGTCTGTTGGCTCCTGGGACAGGATTCTTCAACACCATTCACCGAAGAGGAAGAATTCCCACCAACATTCAGGGCTTTTGCAGCGGTGGTTTCACTCGCGCCATCAGAACTGGCATTAGGAGAGCCATTTTCAGCACCGCTGGTAATGCTGGTTGCGAGCTCGTGGAGATCTTGGCTCAGCAGCAACACGATAGTGCCTCCAACACGAAGTACTCTGGCAATTGCAGGAAAAAGAAAGGTCAGGTGTACACCCTGCCTGGCATTCATTCATCTCTGCAGAACTCAACGCTGCTGACACTTCAGATGCCAGTTGCATTTGATAAGGGACCCAGGCACATCAAAGGTCGTGACTCAGCTCAGTAACCCACATCTCCAAATGGAATTTAAATTCCCTGTCTTCATAACTCTTCCCAAATGGGAGAACTGGGCCCTATCCTGACTCACAAACATTTCTTCCATTGGGATTTCTTTCCATTGGGTTAGCAGGGAAGATGGACTCAGTTTTTTTGCTCTTGCTATGCTTCCAAGGATGGAGGGCAGCATCACCTTCAAACCCTGGTTTTGGGTCATGTGGGCCTCCACCAGTCTGCAAAGGAACAGCTTCCCAGGGCAGCAAGACCTTCTCAGGCTGGTAAGGCAATTCTGAAGCTGACTTTTCCCTTTGGAGACTTTAAGTCTGTGTTCCACTGATCCTTAATGGCTTTCAAACTCAGGAAACAGAGAAAAATTAACCACTTGCAATTAATTTTTCTTAGTATGTGAGGAAACATTGCACTTGGCCTTGAAAGAGGGGATAAAAAAGACTATCCTGGCTCTGCGCACAGCAAGTGGACTGAACAGTGGTAATGGACCCTTCCTCACCTCCACCTTCCCAAGGCAATATTTTGCCTCAGATGGCCCAACAGAGCAAGTTAAGACCAGAAGACAAGCATGGCCAAAGGGAGGGATGGTCAGTGCAAGCTGACATAACATTGCCCTGCCAGGCTGTGGAGCTACCTCACCTTCTTCACCATCTTTCCACCACACTCCTGCATTGGCAAAGACCAATCCTACAGAAAGAGCTTGTTTTCAGCCAAGAAATGATATAATAAAGGGGCAGACAGTTTGAACTGCCCGTTAGAAGCAGCCTGCTGTTAGCTTGGCTCAACTCTGCCACAAATTAAATGGGTGAGAGACAAAAGGAGGCATCTAAGAGCAGGTGGCTAGCTGGATATTCCAGTGCACGCTAAGAGAAAGGAAAATGCATACCACCATTTCTGGTCTGAGATCATTCTTGCAGGTAAAAAGCTTGGTTATGAACCCAAAAGGAAAGCCTATGATTTTATATAAGCAGGCCTCAGCCATGAAAGGATTACTGCTTTATTTGCTTGGCCATGCTCTAAATTTGTCCAGGTCATCCTCTCCTCTTTCTGCCTTGTAAAGAACATCTGTGAGTGTGACGCACAAATATTTCACCATCATGCCTTGTAAGGAATATTTGTGAGTATGGCTCAGACAACGAGCTCGTTCCTTGTCAGCCAGTCACTTCCATCAGCGTGTCCACAGCTTGCAAGACAAGCCACAACAGCCTCTAAGGGACAAGTAAAGGACTCAGACTTTCACAGCCTGCACAAGACCAGACTACTGAGCTGGAGAGTGTTTGGAATAAAGCAAACCTGACGCTGACTCAATGCTTAGGACCCCAAACCACCACGATATTTATACCAAACCCCAAGCATGTCAAAGGCCACACATACCTTTCCATTTCCTGGAGAATATCTGGCAGGAGCTGTATGTCTTTTGTGATCTTGAACTTCTTCCCAAACGGAATATCCGAAATCACAGCATCAAATCTTTCTGAAGGCAATGGCAATGCTGCAGAATTAAAGGCAAGTCTTTAGGTCTGATTATGTGAAAAATGAACAGCAGCTATGCCCCCATTCACCTGACAGAATTCTCTGCCAGCTCTTTCGTCAGTTATACACCCAGATTCCTAGCTCCTTCTGTACTTATCCTCACAAACAGCACTACGAAGCCACCAACCCAATGGAGACTGGGAAGAAACGAAGGCATGAGAGCATGGCTTCGCTTGCAGAATCCCCATTACTGGTGATATGTTTGCCCTGAATAGCATGACTGCATGGTACCAAACTGCTGCTTCTGAACTCACAGTACAGCTTTACAAGCAAAATGCAGAAGAAGAGCTAAGCTTGCAAGCACTTTACTTGGTCCTGATGTTCAGATACACACCTCTGAATGGCAAGGAGCATGTTAAATTTCCCTCCACCCCTCTCTTACCCGCCCATAAGAATCTGGTTACAGCCAGAATCACTTGGATTCTGTCAGAGCTAGTGTCTTTGAACTATCTCCCCAGTTTCTGCATCCTGGGAATAGTCAGTTCTCTTGTCCATGATGCTGCACCACACCCTTGTGGTGATGAAGGTGGCCCACATACCAGGCTGTGCTGGCCAGAGCGTAGCCAAGCATGTGACAGGACAAGACTATGAATTCTCCATCCCTCAGGATGCTCAAAACTCAACTGGACAAGGACCTGAGCAACCTGACCCCGCTTTGGGGTTAGCCCTGATCATAGAATCATAGAATCATTGAGGTTGGAAGAGACCCTTGGGATCATCGAGTCCAACCATCTACCCTACTCTACAAAGTCCTCCCCTACACCATATCCCTCAGTACCGCATCCAAGCAGACGACCTCCAGCTAACCCCAAAGCTGGGTCAGGTTGGTCTCACCTAAACCCTACAGTGATTCTATGCCAGCATTTGCACAACTGGCTAGAGATGTTTCTTGGACCATCCTTGGATCAACACTTGCAGCACAACAATCTTCTCTACAAGTGAAAGGACAAGTTACCTACGGTCCTTCTCAAAACATGCAGAAGTAACAGCTTTTGACCACTGACAAAGACAGCAATTACTTGTTCAGTATTAGAAAGGCTTCAACAAAGTACCTTCTGTTACCCTAAAAGCCAAGGCCAATCACAGCTTTTAAGCAAGAAATAAAGCTATATATATTCTTATAAAAAAGAAATAATATTTTTTACAATCCTGCCAAGAAATAAATATTGCAAGACAAAAAAAATATGCATACTTCCTCATCCATGCACAGGTAAAATCACTCAGCTTTTGTCTGTCATTAATTTCATAAAGGACTAATTTAGACTTGGACTTTGAGGTCCAGAACAAGGTGATGAAATATTACACTCTCCCCAGACTAGCTCATGAAGCCAGCAAACAGATTCGTTCTTGCAGGAGAAAGGTGTCATCATTTAAAAGACTCCTACTGCAAAACATCCACAATTCAACACTGAGCTTAGTGAGTCTCCACTATTACTCATTTGGTACATTTAAGTTACAAGCCACATTTTATCTGGATTTGCCCTTGCTGTGTTCCATTAGACACAAAAAAAAATCTTACACAGTATGTACTCTTCGTGCTATTCACCCATTTACCATTAAGACAGACACTGCTGTCCATGTCTGACAATTACTATTCTCATGATCTTCTGCCAAGTTTATTCTTGCCAATGTTCAGAGGGGGAGAGAACAAATAATTACCCGTCTGCTGGCACCACGGGGTCACTGCTCGGCTACTTGTCAAGAGTTAGCTCTGCTACACACCACCTCAAGAGAACCTGTATAACCCCAGAACACAGAAAACTTCACGTGTCTCACTTGGAAAGCTGACAGACATACCTTTCACAGAGGCTTTAAGTAACTCAATCTTATCCATCAGGCCTGCAGTCCTGATATTCATATCTGCACCCTCTAACTGTGAATCACTTATGTCAGCGCCCCAATACCAGGCTTCCTGTTCAGAGAGAAAGAAAAAAAGTCATCTAGTTGACAAACAGGTGTATTTATTTTATAAACCCTTCTCAGAACTGAGAACAAAGATCAACACACAGACCCAGAGGACATAAGAATGGGGGAAATCCGTGCTGTCTTCACTCCTTTCACATTCTGCTCAAGACACTTGTAACTTACAGAAATATTTATGGACGAGAAGCTCAACATGAGCCGGCAGTGTGCGCTGGCAGCCCAGAGACCCAACCATGTCCTGGGCTGCATCAGGAGAAGTGTGGCCAGCAGGTCACAGGAGGTGATTCTGCCCCTCTGCTCTGCACTCGTGAGACCCCACCTGGAGCTCTGTGTCCAGCTTTGGAGTCCTCAGCACAGAAAGGACATGGACCAGCTGGAACAGGTCCAGCGGAGGGCCACGAAGATGATCAGAGGGATGGAGCACCTCTCCTATGAAGACAGGCTGAGGGAGCTGGGATTGTTCAGCCTGGAGAAGAGAAGGCTCCAGGGAGACCTTATAGCAGCCTTTCAATACCTGAAGGGTGCCTATAGAAAAGCTGGAGAGGGACTCTTTGCCAGGAGGTGTAATGACAGGACAAGGGGAAACGGTGTTAAATTGGAAGAAAAAAGATTCAGATTAGATCTCAGGAAGAAATTTTTTACTATGAGGGTGGTGAGACACTGGCCCAGGTTGCCCAGGGAAGTTGTGGATGCCCCATCCCTGGAGGTGTTCAAGGCCAGGCTGGATGTGGCCTTGAGCAACCTGCTCTAGTGGGAGGTGTCCCTGCCCAGGGCAGGGGGATTGGAACTCAATGATCTTTGAGGTCCCTTCCAACCCAAACCATTCTATGATTCTATGTTTGAGGCTACGTCCAAACAGCAAGACCCCAGCTGGCTACAGCCAGCCATGCTGCCTCTAACACTGACACCTGACCATACTGTCCCAGTGTCACCTCAGCTCCCAGGGTAAGTCCAGGCAGTTTTAAAAGCCCATGGCTGCCTCACAAACCCTGTGGTATAAATCCAGGTCTGTCAGCACCTGCCTCGCAAGTATGTAGGACTTTCTTTTACACTCCTGTGAAGGAACACTTGTACTACAACACTTTTAACAACTGCCTAGAAAGATCAGTTTGGTTCCAGCTTTCCAGTAATGGACTTTGCTGTGAAGGTTTTCCTTGATGTGACTACAAGCCACCTGGCAAAGGCCCTGTTGCCACTGTGATACTCACGGGCCACTCTTTGGCAGCTTCCAGCAGTATTGTTCCCAGCCCACACATGGGATCCAGCACAGAGGCACCTGCCTACAGAAATACAGGGGTTATTGCATCCCAAGAAAGACAGACTCCTTTCCCAGGACAAAGCTGACTCAGGGATGTACACATCACCTCCATACTCCCACCGAATCCAACCGAGGTAACAATAACCACTGGCTTACCAGGACAAACTTCCTTGTAAGATAATACAGTAAAAAGCATTCCTAGTTTCACTGAAGACAACGCATGAATGCATCTAGCCTTGATGTGACATTTAGGGGGGAAAAAATTATGAATGGACTGCAACTAGAACATCTCTTTTACGAGGAGAGGCTGAGGGACTTGGGTCTTTTTAGTCTGGAGAAGAGAAGGCTGAGGGGGGATCTGATCAATGCTTATAAATACTGAAAGGGTGGGTGTCAGGAGGATGGGGCCGGTCTTCTTTCAGTGGTGCCCAGGGACAGGACAAGAGGAAATGGGCACAAACTTGAATGCAGGAAGTTCCATCTAAACATGAGGAGGAACTTCTTTGCTGTGAGGGTGGCAGAGCCCTGGTAGAGGCTGCCCAGGGAGGTGTGGAGTCTCAGTCTCTGGAGACATTCAAACCCACCTGGACACATTCCTGTGGGACCTGCTCTGGGTGGACCTGCTCTGGCAGAGGGTTGGACTGGGTGATCTCCAGAGGTCCCTTCCAACCCCTGCCATTCCGTCATTCTGTGACTGCAGACAAATATTGCTACCAAATTAATCTGTGGCAAACATCACACCGCCTTCTGTTTTCCTTTGGGAGAACAATCACAACCAAGGTTTAAAGCCTGGACTGTGAAAAAATCTTGCCATTTAGACATATATATTCATACAAGGAATAACAGCTGGGATTACAGCAGCTGTCTGGCTGACCAGCAGGTGACAGCACACTCTGAGCACAGATAAGGCAAACCCTGTCCACATGTATTAGAGCATGGAGCATTAAAATCATCACACTTCTTCAAAACTTCTAGCTCCGAGGAGCAGTGACCCCCTCTTCATTTGGGACTCTATGTGTTTGCCACGAACATTCACTTACACTAATTTCAGCCAGAGATGCCATGGCCCATGCAACTGTTGATCTCAGTCCTGCTGTTTTGATATACTCTCTGTTTGCCAACGGAAGCCTGCAGACAGCAAAAAAATCCATGTAGGATAACAGTGCAACCTCCCAGAAAAGCCCATGTAATATGAAAGAACAAGTGAACTGGACACATCTGGAGACAGACAGATAGAAACCACAGTCTGCTTTTGTTCATAACTCACTGCAACATCTGGCCTATGTGCTCAGATAAGCTCCAGACAGACCTCATGACTAATGTGACAGTCCAGTGCGTATTAAACCAGGAGATAAACCATCACAGTGGAAAGCAAGACTATTAAGAAGCTGTGCCTGTTCTGATAATGCTCAGACAAATCTGGTGAGGAGAATGCCTACCTGAAAAGAGGAATCCCCACCACAGTGTGAATGTCATTAAGATGCACAAAGATCTGAAAGAGAAAAAAAATAGCATTAGAAACCCTCAACCTGGCATGACAATAGCTTTAACTCATTTAAACCAGACACAGAAGATGTTCCTATGAACTTCTGATCCTAGTTTTTAAGAACAAACATGCATGGTTTAGACAATTATGAATAATTGGAAGAAATCGTACTAGGTAATCTGAATGCCACTTTAAAGAGGATTTCATATTTAAGCAAGCTGGGAGGGTAATCTGGTCAGCCAGGAATCCATCAGCAAGCACTTGAATCTTTAAGGGAACAGATTTTTGTAACAATGAATGGGTATTTTTAATTATGAAGCCATTTACCCTAAGCAGAAGAAGATTATTCACTGTATACTATCAATCATCTGTTCACACAAGCACTTTAAGCAAACCCAAACAAGTTCCACTAAGCAGTATTTCAGATGGAAGGCAGACATGATTAATCCGTCCAGAAATGAAGGCAGCTCAAAGAAATTGTCCTCCTGTCCCATAGAGAGCATCCCAAAAAGACGACTGAGCTCCACAACAGGTCTTGCAGAACCGTAATCGTTCCCCAGGAAGCCCAAAGAGAAACATGCTGCTGCTGAAAAATCCCAGTCCTCAGCACTTGAACGGTTTCAAAGCAAACATCTGGACAAGAACAAAAGCCCCATTTGAGTCTCAACAATGCTGTGTTTGATACACAGCCTGGAAAAACCAGAGCCAGTAGAGGAACCCAGAGCTTTTACAGAAGGCCTCAGACCTGCCAGTATCAGTGCTTAGAGCAGCTTCCATACCTCAAGCAGAGGGATGGAGAAACAGCTTGTCGAGTGCACGGAGTCCTTTCCAAGGACTCCAGACACTCTGCACCACGGAGGATGCCTTAAGGCTTGGTTGTCATGGACAAGGAGGAGGCTCTTCCATACACAGCATTCTCAAGTTGAGTTCCTTGAGAACATGGCCTTGCTGCTGGCTCCCTTTCCCCTGCAGAGGCTGACCCAGCTGTCCAACAGCTTGGGTGACCTTTCCAGCAGAGTCCAGCAGTCTGTACACCTGCTGGATCCCCAGACATGAGGATGGATCCCATATGGATCCTTGCCCTGACATACAGGCCCATACTAGTCTGGTATTTAAGTGGCCTGGAAGGCATGCAACCAGTGGCTACCGGAAAGCTTTGCTGAGCGCTACCAGATGATTTCCAGTTAAATTCAGCAGCAGAAAGAAACAAGGAGGAGACCACAGTCCCATGCACTAAGAGAACAGAGAACAAAACAAGAGATATTGGGGGCAATTTTGGAAGTAGCAACAGGCCATCTGGCAGACAAGCACCACTACCTCTAGATCGGGGTCCCGCAGATCAGCCCGCCACCCACACTGCTTCATGAGCGCGACGCCAACGGCTCTTCCGATCTCCTGCAAGGGGGAAGAACAGTCACAGGCAGTAAAAATAACAGAATTAAGAAAACTACAGATCACAGCTTTTGTTACTATCAGGAGCTGAGAGTCTAGCAGATACGTAAATGCCTAACTAAAAGGATTAAAGGCGCCTTTCACAAATATGAGCAAAACCAAACAGTGAATAACACCACCAGAAAGAACCAGTTTATAAGCTTGCAAAATAAATGGAGGGGTTGCAAAAAGCTTCTGCATTTATGTTCCCCAGCACACTCAAAGAGCTATCGGCTCAAACCGGCCACAGTGGACAAACAGAAGGACGCTCCAAGTCAAGTCTTCATGTGGAAAGAATGACCAAAAGTTCACCAAGAGCTCACTCCTGAGCAACCACCAAACACCACTAGGGACCACCCAAACCTTCCATGCAGCCCCTAACAGACTTAATGCACATGTGCCAGGGTGATGTGAATATTATAATGAGTTCTGGGAAATGTAATGACTATACATATTCTGTATGGATATAAGTCTCTGTGAATCTCACATTTGGTGGACGTGTTGGGTGGAGAGATCCCCCACGTCCCTGGTGCCAAACAAAAACAATGCCTGCTTTTTAAGACTACATTGCTGTTAAGAGGTTCACTCTTTATTTTGGTGATGCCTTGACTGCACAATCCTCACAAATACCTCTTAAAAAGAGTCTCTCTTTATCCCAAGGAGAACAATCTATACAAAGCCCACAAGAGGTACAACAGGGCAGAGCAGGTCAGTGAGGGGCAGAGCAAACACACCACAGGACTACATGACTATCAGATGGAGAGCAGGAGGCTGAAGGTCAAGTCCTGTCCAAGGTAAACAAAAGTTGTCATCAATGTAGAATTATATAATCACACGCACAAAATATGGCTGTAAACTAAATTAACTAAGAGAAAAATCTGAAAGCACACAACTACAACATGCAGTTTTAATGCTTTTAAGGCATCTGGAAAGCTTTGACTATCATCAGTGTGTGACAGTTCAAACACACAGCACAAATTTAAGCAACCACTTGTGCTGCCAGGCTCACACATCCCATCTTCCCAGTAATGAAGCTGGGACTGTACTAAAGTGCTGTAAAGTATTAGCTTTAGAAGGAACAAAAAAAAATTAGTGAAAATACTGTTACTTTCAAGTAACAGAAATCTCCATAAATTGCAGTTACACAGGGTTTGTTTTTTTTATTTTCCTCACAGTAGAAAGATATAGATGAGAAGAGCGCTGAATGGAAAGGGCCCCTGGAAGTCTCTGCTCCAGCACTCTCTCCCAAGGACAAAGATCCACTTCACCCAGGACACATCCCAGGGCTGCACCACCCTTGAGGGGAACAAGAAGTTCTCCCCAGTACCCAACCAGAGCCCACCGAAGCTGCAAGTTCTGGCTTTTGTCCTTTCACACTGTCTGCCACAACTAAGAGGAGTCTGGCTCTTCTGCCCTTGACACAGCCCTTTAAGTAGCCATAAACTACTATCAGGTTGCTCCTCAGACTCCACCAGATCTCACAAGCCCAGCCACCTCAGCCTTTACTTATCCTCAATAAAAGGCATTGATTTGAAAAATATTTAGGGTAACACTGCCCAGAAATTTAACAACAGCCTTTCTATTTCCATTTGTTTAAGGTAAATGCAGGTTAAGGGATTATTTTTTTTTTTTGAGAAAATACAGAAAAGCTCTCCATCAGTTTGTTATGCTAAAACATACGACACACAATTGAAATGACACATAAACTGCACATCTCCCTTCACCTTTGAAACATAGATAGTTTAGCATACCTGTGAAGGAAGTATTTTGGCAATCGCTCCGCTACAACGACAAGAAACTCTGAAACTGAAGCTGAGCTGCTCATTATTCACAGCAGGCTTCTCTCCACTGCCTTGGGAAGGGTCTTCTAAGGAAGTCTCACTTTCAGTCCAGCAGTCCTGATTGCTCTTTCTCTCTGGTACCACACACCTCTCTCCAGCTCCTGTCTGACATTCCTCTGACACAGTTACGCTCACTTGTTCTGTTTTCTGCCTTTTAGTTGCAGTATTTGTCTCTTCTTCTGGTTTTCTCTTTAGAGGCAATCGGTTTTCTTGAACAGCGTCATCTTTTTTCCCCTCATTCCCATGAAAGTTTCTCCAAATAGAGATAACATCCAGCCAATACTTTGGCTCCTCGGTGACAAGGCTTTTAATTTCATGCAGCATTTTCCCTGGAAGAAAAAGCAGTTCTGGGGTAAGTAGTTCGGTCTCAGCATTGGATTTTTCCTACAGATTGAGAAGAGTTGTTAACAGAGACTATGTTCAGGCTCCATTCGTGTGTGAATCCAGGAACCCCAGCAGCAGCACAGGCACTGCTGAGCTCTCAACACCCCCACACACCCCCAGCAGGGACCCAGGTATCCCTCCCATGACAAGCTCTACAGAACCAAGATTCAGCTGCACAGGAGTTGGATTCTGCAGAAGAATTCAGCAGCTCTAGAGAACCAGACCACCAGGGACAGAGGACCAGCCTCCCCAGAAAGGACTTGGTCTTGGACTAGAGATGTGGGACACTCCCCGGGACTGAAAGACAGACATGAACAGGAATTACTTTGATTTGGCTCACAATAAAAAGCCACAAGTTTATGTCTCCTTGCTATTCATCATCCTGCCTTCAATCCTGCAGGGTTCTTCTACACGTGCCCAAACTTACACCCGTGGCTAATCGTCCTCTTGAGCTTACGACGGTAAGAGAGACACAAGGAATACACAGGCCAATTCACTTAAAAACCTTGAAGCTGGTCAAGGCTGGGGGGTGGTGTGAAAAGGAAAGGTATTTCCTTTTCTCATTTAGAATCATGGTTAACTTTGATCCTCAAAGCTGAAGGTCACCTGTGATCTCCCAGATAAAACCCCATCAGCATGCAGATACCAATCCGTCTTACTCAAAGTTCTTATTCATGTTCTCACTGACAAAGAACAAGACCTGAGAAACTGAGATTTACAAGAAATCTCTGTGCTGAAGAGTTAAGTGACACAGGATATACGTCTCAATCCACTTTGCCTAACGGAAAATATGATTCATTGTTAAAATGCATACAAGGGGTCCAGAACTGGACTGAAGTTTCATTTTG